TGTAGCTCCTCCTGTGATTTTTCCTGTTCCACATCCGCCTCCTCTCCCTGTCCCAAGTCTGACTAGTGCTTACAATGGCCTATTGCCTCCGTTTAATAAATTATGTGGTTGGAGATGATCTAGTTGGACTAGATGACCTCCCGAGGTCACTTTTAACCAATATTTTCTTTGATTTTTGCCATGTTCTCTTCTAGGTACCGAGGGAAAACCTACCGGGCGACGGTCAAGATCGTGAGGACGTCTGATCAAGTGGCGGATTTCTGCCGGAGGGTCTGTGCCAAGCTGGAGTGTTGTCCCAACCTGTTCAGCCCTGTGCTTGTAACTGAAATCTGTCCCGAGAACTGTTCTATTCACACCAAAACCAAATACAGTGAGTAATAGCTTATGTGCTGCTCTGTCACAACTAGGAGCTGGAGCATTGCAGGGGTGATCGTGGGCCAGGCAAAAAAACAAAACATGCTTAGCATCACACGCTAGTACTGGAGTGATGTTGTAGCCATGGCGGTCCAGGACATATGAGATTTTTGGGAAAGGGCAATATCTTTTATTGAACCACTATATAGTTGGGAGAGATCTTAGACAAGCTTTTGGGCATGAGGCCCCCTTTCTAATCCTGGGAGTGGAAATTGTTGCAAACAAGAACACGGATGCCCGGGATGCTTTTGTGTGGAGTGTGGTGGTTGGGGCTCAGTGCATTGGGCCTCTTCACCCTCATGTACTGGACCTGAGTTACATAGTTACGCTGCACTTAGCCAGACTCATCATGGGACATGAGATCACTGAGTGCAGTCCTTCATGGTGTGAGATGCAAAAGGCCTGCTCCAGTGATCATTGTGTTTGCTTATTTCCAACCACTCTGGTTTTCTGCCAGAAAGGATACCAGTTGTAGCATCTTTTCTTCCCCAACTGTGGTCCCCTGTTACATTTGGAAGATAGCCTAGGCTGATTACAGCACTGTATGCTAATCTTGTGGTCTCTGTAGTATCAGGGAGTTAGTTCCACTTACATGCACATAATTTGGGGTAATCTGCAGTTTGCCTAAATGTAGAAGACAATAGTACCTGGAGCACATCACTGTCTGCCAGTGAGCCAGCTTCCGATTTGTTGCATCACTATCGATCTGCAGTATGCCTGCGGCTCTGGACTTATGCCTCTGTAAGTGTAGCTTCAGTAGACATAGTTGATATTAGGGGAAGCACTTGCTTAACGTTAAGTGCACACTTCATCCCACCCAAGTCCATGCTGATGAATAGAGAGAGACTGCTGAATTGGGGCCTGTTGGTGGAATCAGGTTTCATTGAGCCATCAAGAGGGATGAGTGATGCGAGGCCAGAAAGAGAGCAAAGCAAAGGGAGCTGGTTTTGTGGCTTAGGGTAGGGTTGTCAGAGATGTGGTCAGGAGAAACATTTCACCCAGCCCACAGAGGAGGCTCCAAGAGGGGCCAGGAATCTGGCAATGGGGTTACGGGGGGGTAGGGCATGCCACCAAATTTTCAGCATCAGAGCCTAGCCAAGGATGTGAGGCAGTAGTGAACAGGGATGAGTAATATCTGTGTTAACCCCTGCACTGCTACTCATCTTACTGCCGCTGGGTCCAGATCCTGTCTGGGTGCCCAGGTGAGTTTGACACAAGTGGCTTAAGGAGGTCATTTCCTCCAATGAAACATGGAAAATGCAGATGTGCCTTGGAGGCAGGAACCAGAGCATGTAAATCGGGTAACTTGCCTTTACTATGTCAGGTAAGCATTACCTGTATGGATTGTGTGGGGTGGGCATAAAGCCTGCTGGGGTTCATTGCAGTCATAGTTCAAAGCACTGACTGAACAGCTGCTTGGGCCTTAATATGATCTTCAGCAGAGACGACTGCCTCTATTTCCTGTTGTAGCTTCACCTCATTAAAAGTTCAGTCCTGGAATTGCCCTGCTATTAATTCCTTGGATGTTGTGTCAAATCCTGCAATCTGCATTTAGTTCTCAGACAGGCATAATTCGCAGGCACTTGAATGGAGGTTTTGCTTACTTCAGCCAGTCTGAAGTGCTGAGTCAGGAGTGCAGGATTTAACCTGTAGTGAATAGAAGAAATGCATGTACATCATAATAGCTCTGCCCCTTCGGTTACTAGTCCAGGATGACATCCACTCTTTCATTCTGCATGGGGACATTCGCTGTGGATCGGGTTATTTTAAATTTCTTTATGAAAACCACT